TGCGTTGATGGACAGTGGTATATCCCTCTGACTCTCTGAGCTGGTCACGGAGAGCTAAGCCCGGATGTCGTGAACGGAATATCACATATGTTCCTGCATTTATGACACATGTGCACACAAGCAGTCATCAGACCCTAAACCACCCTTTCGGAAACACGGTGAACTCAAAATGTCTTCAATTCATACTTTCCAAGCTATTGGGGGCTTATGACTATTTGTGCACCGAGCTTCGAAGCGGATCTTAGGAGTTCCACCATCTTTACCTCACGAGAAAGTCTAGATACCACTCCACTCGGGTGATTAAGTTACAGCACCACGAACACGTTGCGTGTTTAGTGTTCCTCAAGCTGCGGGTGCACATGTACAGCGATCGCGCCATAAGGACGTGGTCAAGAGAGACAGGCACCGCGAGCGCAACGCTCGGACAATACTTCTTGATTGCTAGCGACAGGTGCGATGCACTGGGAAGCTGCTGCCATACCGCCTCTTCGGGGTGCCTGCGGACCTAGTAATACAAGCGTCACTGTCATTGCTGTCCGACGTCCGTGTTGGGCTTCACGGTGAAACGGAAGACGTCACACGGCGCAGTCTTGTGCCAGAATAGATCGTTCATATCATTACCCCGTCAGAACCGTATATACATGCAAGCCACGCACCACACCGCCTGCAGGCCGCCAGCCTCTGGCCTTCGAGCTCGAGTCAATCATCGAACCCTCACACGGAAGTTGTTCATTGTGCGTGTGGACCAACCCTGCAGCGGATCATCGGCGAAGTGTGACAAGGTCGAGAATGACCTCTATTTGTCTGGAGGCTTATGTGGACAAGGCATATTGCAAACACCGACAGCGCTGTATCGCCGCTTGGAAAGGATGCTGAAGGCGTCCGGTGTCATTTGCCAGATAGTGAACCCGGACGCTGTCACGTTGGTGCCTGCGGCTTCTTGATCCACGTACCTATTTGATATAAATTGAACAAGGCTGGCATGATCGTTCACCTAGACGCAATTCTGACACGGGGGCGGCATAGTGTGCCTCTGTGCTGTTGTTGTACAGATGGGGCTCGGGAGAAGGCGCAGGATGATCATGCATGCGATCCCAATGGGACCGGTTACCAGCATGCATATGAGAAGGCGGAACTAGAGAGACTGGGCATGTATCAGGGACCTGGGACCCAGCTCTGACAGTGATTCCGTAGGGGAGGCTCCACGCCCATTCGAAGTCGGGTTAAAACTTCACGCTGAGTTGACGTGAGGCCCAGGGCCAGGAGGGAGATAGAAGCCGGATAGAAATGCCGGCATGTCCGAGACAAAGTATAGGCAGGACAAGAGAACTGAGAGAAGGCAAAGGTTCGCCCCCGGTCCGCCAAAGTCGTATGAGGCCTTGATGGTGCATGCATGGCGGGTGCTCACGGGATCGGCACAGAGAACATTCGAAGTCGGTGGTGCGCGCGCGTTTGGCTGCGGAACGAGACATGAGTCACTGAGTAGTGGAGTGAGAGGCACGCGTCGTGACGCGTACATCAGGCGAATGATGGAGAATGGCGGGCGCGACCTGGCCTTGGAGGCAGAATAGAGGAAGAGGTGGAGGTGGAGTAAGAGAGGATGGTCGAGGACAGGAGACAGGGATTGGGCAGGCACGATGATAAGGGAAAGAAGAAGCCGGCAGAGGAGGCGAGGAGGCTTAAAAAGACCGAAGGGACATCAGCGGTCTAGAGTCGGATCGGGATCTCATGTTGCGATTGGAAGTGGGACCCGATATATATATTCGGCGTTGACGGAAACTGACGTGGGCGGACTGAGCAAGGATGAGTACATAAGGTGGCCGACGATAGAGGCCTGTACTGTTCGCCTGGTTCCTGCGCTGCCTTGACTCTGCTCGTTTGCTGCTTGTTGTCGGGAGGATCTCGGAGAGAGCTCACATTCAAACGCAAAACAATCTCGGCAGAGTGGATCGTCGCAATTGGAATCGACGCTCGGCGGACGGGAACACATATTACGGCGGACGATGCACGCACGTTGGTCGGGGTGTGCGGAGGAGCGCGGGCGGGCGGCGGCGGAGAGTCCTGCCAGCGCAATTGGCCGGCTTTCGCTCGGTGGAGGTGGAGCGGAGCGGCCGCACGCAGGCTCGAGTTCGGCGGCGGGCCCGAGCGCGTTGGGGACGGTGCGGGAGCAGCAGCGACGATCGATCTGTGAGCCTATCCGGGAAGAGAGCTCGCCCAGCAGAGACGAATCGCCCAGCAGGGACTCGAGAAGCGTCCCGTCAAGTCCTTCCAGACACTCCAAATCGATATATCCTCTCTCGCCCATTTCGGACATTACTCTCGACATATATAAACGTCATCACCGCCCACGAGCTCCCCCAGTCCGCTCCCTCTCCGCCCCCCTTCTCCCACTCCTCATCTCGACAAACACCACGAAGCCCATCCATATCAATCAGTCGTACGTTTCTTCTTCTCATTTCTTCTTGCATTTTCCCTCAACACCACCCAGAACAATGTCCGACTCCCTTATGCCCCGAAGTGACTCCTTCAATGTCCGTGTACGCGGCGCGAGTCACATAGATTTCAAGACGTCTACCACCGGTGTCGCAGCGAAGGCCATGCGTAACGAACTCAGCGCTCTGGTCAATACCGTCAAGGAGCTAGAGACGAGGAAGGTGCGTGTCACTCTATTATCTCTCATCTGTCCCCGAACGTTGAGATCTCCTCCAATTCAAGGCTTTCGACACTGAGATGCAGTCGTTCTTCTACCTCTTCACCCGTTATCTTTCAGACCGCGCTCGTCGCCAAGAACTGTGCGTTGCTCTCCCATGAATGAGCGTCTAGCCTCGAGCCCTTACATTCTCGCGTACAGTGATTGGGACCGAATCAAGTCTCCCTCGGAAGACAAGATTGTTCCCTATGCCAAGCTCTCATCTGGTTCGCCCCAGAATCTTAACAAGCTTGCCGTGTTGAAGGTCAATGGTGGTCTTGGAACTTCGATGGGTGCGTCTTCCGTGAATACTTGATTGCATTCCTCAACTCATCCTACCCAGGTATGACCGGTGCCAAGTCCGCGCTTGAGGTCAAGGACGATATGACCTTCCTTGATCTCACTGTCCGCCAGATTGAGCACCTCAACACCACGTATCGCGTCGACGTTCCCCTCATCCTTATGACGTCATTCAACACCCACGACGACACCCTCCGCATTATCAAGAAGTATGCAAATCAGCAACTTCGCATTACTACCTTCAACCAGTCGCGTTATCCTCGCATATTCAAGGAGACGCTTCTTCCTGTCCCCCACTCGGCGGACGATGACAAGAAGAACTGGTACCCCCCCGGTCACGGTGACTTGTACAATGCTCTCCTTCACTCTGGTGTCCTCGACCAGTTGATCGCTGAGGGTAAGGAGTACCTCTTCGTGTCCAACTCGGATAACTTGGGTGCTGTGTGAGTGCGCAATGATGGACCATGGATCGCAAGCATGCTCATACGCGCCTGTTTCAGCGTCGATGACAAGATCTTGCAGCACATGGTCGACTCTCAAGCAGAGTTCATCATGGAGGTAACAGACAAGACTAAGGCTGACATCAAGGTGTGTATCCTCGTCGATGTATCCTTCCACCGTACTGATCGACCTGCAGGGTGGTACTCTCATTGATTACGAGGGTTCTATTCGTCTGCTCGAGGTCGCTCAGGTTCCGAACGAGCACATCGAGGACTTCAAGTCTGGTATGTTACAAGAGAGATGTTGAACTCAGATTCAAGCTTAACTTATATGACAGTGCGCAAGTTCAAAATCTTCAACACGAACAATCTGTGGCTCAACCTCAAAGGTAGCATATCGTTTTCACTCCCTCTGAGCGCCTATTGACGTATCGCACACAGCACTTAAGCGCATTATGGAGAACGAGGGCATGGAACTCGATATCATTGTCAACCCCAAGACGACCGATGATGGGCAGGCTATCATCCAGCTCGAGACCGCTGCTGGTGACGCGATCAAGCACTTCAACAATGCGCATGGTGTCAACGTTCCTCGTAGCCGTTTCTTGCCCGTCAAGAGCTGCTCGGACCTGCTGTTGATCAAGAGCGACATCTACTCGCTTGAACACGGACAACTCATCATCAATCCGAACCGCATGTTCGAGACCACGCCTGTGATCAAGCTTGGTGACCATTTCAAGAAGATCCAGCAGTTCCAGAAGCGCTTCAAGAAGATCCCCAAGATCATCGAGCTCGACCATCTGACGGTCACCGGTGACGTCTACTTTGGACGTAATGTCACGCTGCGCGGAACGGTCATCGTCGTTGCTAACGAGGGCCAGCGCATTGACATCCCGGACGGCTGTGTGCTTGAGAACAGGTTGCTCTCTGGTAACCTTAACATGATCGTACGTTACGATGATTTGCATCCACGTTTGCCGTGGTGATACTCACGACGTTGTGTTCATACAGGAGTTATAAATGCGCTCTGCAGACGTCCCTTTCGGAGGGTTTTCTTTGCTTTCGAGTCTTGCTTTCATATCATATCTTTGGACGAAGTCGCTCTCTACATTCCCCATATAATTCGTTCGGCGTCCGTCGCCATTTCCATGCAGATGCACGTTGGCTGGTCTTTCACGATCTTCACTGCGATTCTAACGAGTACAAACGTCTTTCGTGCGCAGCTATACCACCGGCTTCCTTCCGTCACGTACATTGTCATTCGCATATTCTCATAGATGAGGTGGAGGAACAAACGGACTATGACCACGGTCTAAGGTCAAAGCAAAGATGATTTGAACATGTAGGTAGGTAGTTCTTACATGAAGTGAGCAAGCACCGCCGTGGTGGGTGCGTCGTAATCTGCGTGAACGTCTTGTTGTGCGATGTGAGCAAGGTTGACTTCGTAGTAGTTGCGTAAAAACAGTTTCCCGTCGTCCTCAACCACCGACATCACATCCTCCCTCAGCATTTACCGCTTGTTTTCGAAGTCCTGTAAGAGTTATATAATTAATATGCTAATAAAGATGTATGGCCGCCTGGCGTAATGGCAACGCGTCTGACTACGAGGGTTTGACTTGCAAAGTTAATTCTGGCGAATCAGGAGATTGCAGGTTCGACCCCTGCGGTGGTCATTTTTGTCGTCCAACTCTTGCTTGATGCTCACTCACATTTGTTTGCAAAATCCAAGCAACCCGGAACTCATTCAGTTTTGTGAAGGCTTGTGTGCCACAGGCAAGTCAGTGCATAACACTGAAATTGTCAGCAGCAGAAGCGTTGGGCAGAATCAAGTGGTCCTACAAGTAAACTGTAATGGTCAAGCAATGTCGAACTAGCCGGTGGTATAGCTGCACACGACTCGGATAGACGCGAGTCGCGACGAATGTATGTTTGTGCTCGTTAGAATCGTAGTGGGAGAACTTGAGAGGCCAGTTAATTTACATCTGCATTGAAATTACAACGGACGTCGAACCGTGTAGAGAGAGCGTCTTCCCCCGAAGGTATGAAAGCAAGACTCTGCGGGAAGGACGCCTGTATAGTGCATTTACTATAACTCCTGCATGAATGCAACGTCGTAAGTATCACTGGCACTAAGGCTGCCCTGAGAGAGCCTGCTTTAGATCATGTACAGGGTAGGATTAAGCATGGCATGTGCACATTCACTGCATCATCTTAGGTTGAATCATAGCTGTTAGAAAAGTAAATAAGAGGTTCATTTTGCTCATACTGAGCACGAGACCCGTAGGATGTCCTAGAACATATCCTGTTTGGCCCGTGACAGCGCTTGTGATCCTATCAGCCGCACTTGACATGTACTACCTAGAGTCGGATGGGTCAACCGACACTCGAAGTTCGAAATCGTATCATGTTCAGGGATATCATGAGCTGATTAAGGGTCACTGGATCTGGCATGTGAGACTAAGGAAGTGGTCAGAAGAAAGGAAGCAGAGCGGCGATTGCACGCAATACGGCGACTGACAATGTCACGAGCATCATAAGCACCACCTCGAGAGTTCGAATAACGCTAACCATGCAGCCGTCTCGAAGCCTGAATGCTTCAGAGACGCATATCTGCTTCCACGCGAATCATGAGCGCCGCCTCGTGCATTTCACGATACGAACAAGGAGTTCACGTCACCATACACCGCATGGGGTGCTCGATTGTCCATAACGTGGCTGTTTGTAGTTTGCGCCCAATGGCGGGGAAGCCGCAGAGGACCGCCGCTACCATGTGGTATCGATGAGCTCTATTCCATCCATGAATGATGAAAGACGAAGGCGAGCCATTAAGCAACCATATCCGCTACCCTCTTGCACCACCTTTCACATCGGGTTTGAATGCGGTTCGAGAGCTTGTTCTTGCCCCCCGTTATGGACAGGTCCGCAGAGGTGCAGTAGTAATCAATATACCCTGAACTCTGGAGTTTGACCGCAGCACGACGAGAGAGTGCACTGCTAGCACGCACGATAGCGGTGAGACATGGCTCAAACCTAGTATAGGGACCCGCACGGGCCCACCAAGCCTCGAGGCAGATATATTGGGCATGCTCCGCGTCCGACGGCCGCACGAAGTTCGGAAGTTCGAACGCGGTCGAATAACACGCCAGCATCGGAGCCCCGAGGGCTCTGACGCCGCCGCACGCTGTTGCCAGATCCAAAACCGAGCCCCGACACTCCGGAAGCAGCGCGAAGTGCATCTCCATCATGTGCAGGGGGTTCTTCGCAGACTGAGCCTTGGTTCTGGGTGATGGTATACTCGATGGGCGACGATAGCGGCTCTCAAGCGCACATATACCGTCGCTCAGAAGGCGCGGCCACGCGGGACCCGGGACGGAAGCCCTGAGGCTGAATGCGAGAAGCACATCGTGTGTCGAAGAAAGTCCGAAGCTGCCGGGAAGCGTGTCTGGGCAGTAGGATGGAGCCCAGTGGACGTCATATAGGCGGGTGTCCAGAGTCTCGGTGGGCAAAAGCAACGTTCACCATGCCGTGATCAAGGTAAGGTAGTCACATTGGAGTGACCTCAATAGACATGCGTGCTGGAGCCGAGGGCTTCAGGCTATCGGTACGCCGTCCCGAGCGGACGAGAGTTGTCTGGTTTCTGGGAATCTGGCCTCTGGCGCTCCAGCTGCACGAACGCAATCAGCTGCGAATGGAAGGCAACTGATATAGAGCGAGAGTTGCGGTCAATATCGCCATGACGAGTAGAAGCGGAAAGCACATCAGCCTTTGTGAGCCAGCTGACCTTGCTTGTTAGTTGTGCGATAAGGGTCATGGCACGCTGGGTCAGATTGTCTCGCTGGCGTTCATCAGAGGTCTCAGAAAGTCATGTATGTATCCAGATTACAGTAGGCGATAAATATAGAGCGAAAGCAAAGTCAAACGAACGGTGGACGCACGCACATGCCTGAACCAACTACAAGTGAGTGCTAAATGCCATCTACACACTGCAAAGAAGCCTCATCAGTATTTCCATACAGAAGGAGCGGCCGTAGTTGACAACGCTCACCGGATGACACTTCATAGCAATGACCCGATACCGGCCAGCGCTTGGGTGTTATTATCTACGCTGTTTCGCGCGGATGACTCTGTCATATGATTCCGCGATCGGGTTCCGATACGCTAGTACCGTGAGGTGTGCGCTGAGGTATGGTGGGGGAAGTAGCGGATGGATCTGCTCCAAGGTGGCATTCTGCTCTTGGGGAGGGAAGTGTGATGTGATCGTGATAGGCGTACGAGGAGGAGATGGTGTAGAACGCAATGCAAAGCTCGTAAGTGCGGCAATGGAGGAACTAGAAGATATCGTAGACAGGGTTCGTTGCCGATCGTGGTTAGATCTACCAGAGAGCTTCTCGCTGACAGAAGACTGTACTGGCATTGTGGCACTGGACGCGACGGAAGACGTGGATGTGCGTCGTAGGCTCCTGTGAGCGGGAGATGAGGATGAAGGGGAGGAGAGATTGGGCGATGCGGAGGCGGTTCGGATACTGGTGGGCGAGCCTGCACGAAGGCTAGTTGGCGAGGAAGCTGCAGTTGACATCTGCCCAGAAGCGGCGTCCGGCATTACGGTGGCAAGCGGGGCGAGAGGGGCGGGCTTTGCCGCGAAGCCACCTTGACCGTACGAGTGCCCGCGAATAAGTGGATGTGGTCGCAATACCGGAGAGGTGATGGAATGCGTAGACGGCGGACGGGTCATGGAATGTCGTTTGTGGGAGACGTCGATGTCTGGCGAGCGTCGTGGGGGAGAGTGAGTCTCCGATCGCGCCTTGTTTACAGGAGGAGTCGGACTGGATATCTGAATTTCCACTTGAGGGCGCTGCTGATCGTTCTGCGGCGCCCGCGATGTGTATGAGAGCTGCTGTTTCTGCTCCGCGAGGGTGAAATCGCGCGCGGTCGGAGCAACAGGTAGTTGGGAGGGGCGAGCAGTATCAACACGAGGCAAAGAAGGGGGCGCTGCTCTCGGAGTAGCAACATCGTGACCGGCAGTGGCGTTCACCTGAGCATGCTGGTCTTGTTGTGCCGTCGCGGGATGAGATGGGGGCCGATGCTTAGTCTGCTCGATAGGCGTAGTCTCCGCGTCTGACAGTGATTCGTTGTTTGGTGTCGCGGCGCCACTTTCGCTGGACACCCACTCGTCGTCGTCGTCTTCCGGGCTGGAAATGGAAAAGTCTACTTTCTGCTTGGATCCGTTCTGCTTCGCTGCGGCATTCGGGGTAGGTGCCCGACGTAACGCCGCAGGCTGGATGTTCTCTCGTGAATGCACGCGTATGCCGCTATTTGAGCGCAAGAATTGGGCACTTGCTGCCCGCGAGGTAGGCTATACGTGGCGTGTTGGATATGGCAACTGCTGCGAGTAGATCGTCGCGCAGGAAAGGACGCACCTCGTGATGAAAATGGGAGGTCTTCTTCGGTTTATCAGATACTCTGGGGGCGGGGGGTCCTTCTGAGTGAATTGGAGACTGAGGCCGGCTTTAGAGGAAGCACCAGAAGATGTGCGCGAGTGTGAGCGGACCTGACCGCTCGGACGATGGGGCTTGACAGGCATGGTATGGTGGTCGTGAGCGAGGAGGGGCAGTCCAACCAGTGAGCTCACCACAGCAGACCGGCGCCTCGGTCGGATCCGCCGGACCTCAAATCGTTGCACCGACAACTCCGCACCGCGTCCTGACCGTGTCATGTCACTCGTGTGACCCTCTCCATTGTCTGTTGCTCTATCATAAGTACAACCTTCTATGTATGTACACGCACATGCGGCACTGGACATGAGCTAGTTCACCGTGAGTGTCGGCGCTGCCGTCTCTGGGTGTCTGAATATTGTGGCTCCGCACATTTCGATTACTCAGAATTTAAAATTCAACAGCGCCCCACATCGGTCAAGTGCACGTGGTCAACGTAAGAATTTGCGGATGCATCACAGGCGCCCATCACACCTTTCCTCGCGTCCACTCTCAGTCTGCATAGCGCGTTTGCTCAGCAAGGAGGGAGGCCAAGATGGAGCGTGTGCAGTTTCAGCAAGAGCAGGTGCGTGCGCATCTGATGCGCTCCGACTTACCTGCTGACGCGCCCGGTAGATGCTCGCTGAGCTCAAGGACCTCGTTCAAAAAGGTCTATTTTCTCAAGTGCGTCCTGTTCTATTGCAGGAGATTGTGATGGGACTATGTTGTAATTGACCGATAGCGCAACGCGCACAGAAAGAGGTCAAGCAGATCATGCAGAAGCGGACTGCATATGAGACCGCTCTCGTCCGCCGTATTCCTAAGAAGAGCGACTTTTTGCGGTATGCCACCTACGAGATGAGCCTCGAAGCCTTGCGGCGGAAGCGAGCCGAACGTCTCAGTGAGTACGCCCGCAACATTGCAGAAGTCGAGCAGTCGTGTTGAAGGAAGCAGAGATCGCTAAGGGGCCCCCATCCGTGTCCGACTACGCTCTTGTGCGGCGGCAGTTCCAGATATTTGAACGTGCCCTCAAGAAGTTCAAGGGTGACGTCGGCCTCTGGATCCAGTATATCCAGTTGGCGAAGAAGGAAGGCGCGCGTGCACTCGTCGGGCGCATTACCGCACGGTGAGCCTCCAATCCCACGTCTCGATATATGCTGTTCTCCCTGACGCGTCGATAGTGCGCTCCAATTGCATCCAAA